ATAATAATAATAACCTATTCCTAGTCCTAATAAAACTCTAGCTCTATATCTATTAGATAATTAAGTATTATAAAACCTAGCTTTAAATAGATAAATAACTAAAAAAGAATAAGATTATTACTTATATATAATAATATACTATTAGGACTACTAAAGAACTCTAAGACTAGCTATATAACTAGCCTAATAGGTCTTATAGACTTAACCTAGATCTAACTAAGTTATAAGTAGATAAGGACCTTAAATAATTCTCTTAAGGCCTATCTATAGTAAAGCTACTTAAGGTAATAAAGAAAATAGATTACTATAATCTAGATACCTTATATATAATTATTATGCATAGAATACTTTAATAAATTAAAGAATAATACTTCTGCTAAGAGGCCTAAGACTAATAACTATACTAAGGACTTATTAATAAGGATATAAAAGAGTAGAAAATAAGCTATTCTCTCTAGAATACTTTTAAAGACCTTATTAATATGCTTATAGTATAACTAGGATTAATCTTTATCTTTTCCTTATATACACCTAATCTTATATATTATTATTCTACCCCTATGCCTAGTTATCTCATCCTCCGCACCCCACATAACTCATTAACTAACCATCTTTATTACTAACTTAATCTTAGCAACCAGCTGCTGCTACTTATTTTTTCCTTTCCTATAGCTACTAGAACTAATACTTTAACCCTATTACTACCCCTATAATAATAAATAAAGACTACAGAGAACCTAGCACACCTAGTTCTGCTTATAATCTTATCCTTACATTTCCTATAAATGACACCTAGAATAGCCTCATCTTTCCTTACCTTACACTTAGTTTTTCTATAAATTATGATTTTATCCTTTCCTATTACCTTATACTGCACTCAACTTATCCACAGAGAGGGATAATATCATGGTCTACTGCATGCACCCCTTACATGTGGTTTCTACCTTAATAAAGATAACTCATCCACATCTATATCTGTAAGATAGCTAGCATAGATATAAACTTAGCTTCTTACCATATATCATTCTAGTACCTACCACAGCGTAGACCACAACAGGGTGCTAGGTCTAAAAGGGGCCCTTATTATATAGGTATATATGCACACTACACCCCTAAGGAAGATCTCTAAGGTAGTTATTAGATAGATTATTAATTAACTTACAGTATTACCATTAAGCAGCTTGTGCTACCACAGAGATAGTGTTATCTAGTTGACTAGTACTATATATATGGTAGCTGGGCATGATCAACCATGGGGTTGAATCATAGTAGTCTTACGGCTCAGTTAGTAGTGCGGCGGCCCAGCGCTGGCTCCTAACAATAGGGATGTATCAGGGACACACTGTTATGTACCTATAGTTATATATTAGTTACTTATTAACCTAATAGTAGCATTAAAGGAATACAACTATCATCTTCCCCTGACATACAGCATCAGCCTTGTAGTACGCTACCATAGTCCATATTTATGATACTGCAACCGTCGACCCATAAGATATAAAAGAGACCCTGAACGAGTGGAACTAGCTAGTCAATCAATTACGAAGCTAAGAAGCCAATGGCTGGTGCACCCATGGCTCCTGAAAGGTGATAAAACTGCATGTTACTAAGTCCCAGGTCTCAATGCAGGCCACTCATAATGTCCTCATCAACATCCCAGCTGGCGATATCATCTTTGAATTTCATCCCAAACTTTCCAGAACCGAGCTCAGAGGCATTTTTAGCCCTTCGGAGAAACTGGAGATGCTCACTGCTTAGTTCCAGATTGTGGTTGCTCTGATCAATGCTACCGGCGAGCGTCGTAAGAAAACGACTCTCCAAATCCAGAAGGAATTGTATATGCTCTTCCCCAAAAGAGCGGGATGCTCCCCCAGCGCGGAAACGAAGCATTGTGGGTTTATGATCACTGTTCGAGTGTAATAGAGTTGAGCCCAACCCAGATATCACCATAGATGATATGGACGTTTCGACCTCTGTCGAGGGAAACGGATCTGATGCTATTCGCTGCGCGACGTCTGCGGTGGCCAGGGCTGAGAATGTACTGCCTAGCTTCGACACAACGGACTTCCTGTGCGCATGAACGACCTGGAGAACTAGACCCATGTTGTTATCCTGGACTGCGTGTTAGAATAGGGAACACCAGACGCGGGCTTTTCGTCAGCTTACGGCGAGCCATATCGCCCGTCCAACCTCAACTTCAGCTTTGAGCCTCTGTGTGTCGTCATTTTCAAACGCATCAGCCAACGAGACATATGGTAATATCAACGACTGATAGACTTTCATCACATGCGGATTGATCATATCAGGCGCTGATGTAACCTGTTGATTGGAGAAGACCTGTAAGTTATACCCTCAATGGCACACAGAATCCTGGCTTTCTTGAGACACACCTTTCCTTTCGCCAGTAGACTGACCAGAAGCCACTTCTTGTATGCCTCAACCATAATCTTACTGACAGCATTGGCGACAGGGCAAGTGATGACTATGCACAGGAGATGGAGCGCACTCTCCCACTCCTTGAGTACCATGTATATCATCGCACCATGAAGAAAGTATTGCAGGTGGTCCTTATATGTCACCTGTGCAGTGAAACCGGAAGCACGGGTGATGTACGCCACACTTGACCCGTGCTCAGAGCAGAGAAAAATTTGACGATGCGCCTGATGAGCCTGGTTGACACCGGCAGGAAAGTGATACATAGCTTTGTTTAGGACGGGCAAAGCGTGCCTGTACGATCTGCTAAGTAGGCAAAGTTTCATAAGAAGGAGATGTGTCGATGTGAATGTTTCAGATGCCGGATCAAGTCGAAGTACTGCATCTCTAACCGCTTGGACTGCTAGGAAAGTCTATGTTGTTCCTGTCATGTTTAGCAAAAGAAGGGGCTATGACTGATAAATGAATGAACTCGTCTTGCCTTTGAAGCAGCCTGTGCGGCTTGGGCCACAAGCTCAACAAGTCGTCTCCATTCCTGGCCAGCGTAGCGAACTTGAATTGGGTCGAACACCTTCAAAAACTTAATGGCCCTTTTCCACAAGTCCCCCCCAGGCAGGACATCATTTGGCAGACGTTGATTGTACCTGTCGCCCAAGACCTTGACTCGGGCATGGAAAACGAATAAATAGGCTACCGAATGCAAAGATGGATTGAGACCCTGTAACGGTTTGCCTGGAGTGTAAGCGAGCGACGAAACCGGTTATATTGATAATGGCATGACAACAGGGCATGATTTTGCATCTGCTTACATCCAGCAAGAGATCGGCACTTATCGCAATCTCGGTAAGCTTTGTAGGTTGCTGTATATAAGAAATGAGCTCGCGAAGTTCGCGATCATAGTCTTCCTCATTCGAGGCATGCTGGAGGGATGACACCACGGTGAGGCGCGACAATATCTCTGCCATCTTTCAACTCATCTATCGCCGTTTACAAATTCGGGACAAGAAAGATAATCTGGCTTTCTAAGTGTAGAGGGAAGACAGAATGCGTGGGTCTCAGACTCTCAGTTGGCATCAGCGTAACTTGCAAAATAGTGTGAGTAGCCTGTTGTCAAAACAGCATGTATACCAAGTGTTGAATTATTCACTCCCCCAAACCATGATGATGATATGTGATCATGGGCCTTTGAGATTATTCGTACAGTACTCTGTGTTGTTTCTATACATCTCATAAATCTATATACTATATAATATATGATATAACTATAATGCAGGCTTCGAAGGCAATTTCACAGCCTTGATTTGTCTACATAAATTTCTTGTGATATTGTGTACTCAACAGTCCAAAACCTCTCTACGGAGTAATCAACTTTAGCGCAAAGAACTTATTCCAAAATCTACTCCGGAGATAATCCGTCATCAATTAAACTGCTAGATCATGTATAGAGTAATGATACAAATATTTTTCAACTGGTCGACAGGTAGTATATATGTAGGCATCAGGACTTGGACATCCCTTGTCAGTTATCACTGTAACCACCGGGTATTCCCCTGCCCCACACTAGTAGTAGTAGCCTGAGGATCATTTTGACTTTTGAGTCATAGACCAAGGGATTCAACGAAGTCAGCAGAGTTGGAGCTAGTATTATCTATCTGATTGTCCCCTTGCTAGGGCTTGGTTTTAACTTGTGCTACACGTCAAAGCTTCTCACAATGTCGCTCACTGACTCCTCCGCGGTTGATATCGCGAGGACTGCGTCCTTAGCCTCTCGTCAACTCGCAACTTTGTCCACAATTGACCGCAACGATGCATTGACAGCGCTTCATGATGCTCTATCGAGAAATCGAGATGTCATCCTTGATGCCAATGCAAGAGATGTTGCGATAGCAAGCCGAGCGGCTGAAAATGGCAGCCTTAGCTACAGTGTCCTCAAGAGGCTTGACCTGTCGAGGCCTGGAAAATATGACGACATGCTAAAGGGGATTCTTAGTGTACGGGATCTGGAAGACCCAGGTGTGTACATGAATTGACCGAATTCACATCGTACTAACGAGTCTCTCAGTGGGAAGAGTGACCCTGAGGACGCTTCTGGATGATGGTCTCACCCTGGAGAGAGTGAGCTGTCCTATCGGTGTCCTGCTAATAATATTCGAAGCCCGTCCCGAGGTAATCGCGAATATCGCGGCACTATCCATAAAATCAGGAAATGCTGCTATTCTGAAAGGTACTTGTGCATGATCGATAGCGAATTCCTCATCGCTGACTTGATTGAAGGAGGAAAGGAGTCAACTGAGTCCTTCATCGCCATATCGAAAGTGATATCTGAAGCGATTTCAGGAACACGTGTACCTGAGGCATCAGTCCAGCTCGTGAAAACGAGAGACGTCGTTTCGTCCCTTCTAGCGCAGGACTCCTTGATTGACTTGGTCATACCCCGTGGTTCCAACGACCTTGTCCGATTTGTCAAGGAGAACACCAAGATTCCAGTTCTCGGCCACGCGGATGGTCTCTGTTCTGCATATCTGCATGCTGATGCAGACCCAGCAATTGCTGTCAAAGTTATCGTCGATTCAAAAACAGATTATCCCGCTGCTTGTAATTCGTTGGAGTCTTTGTTGGTTCATCAAGATGCCCTTGAGACTATATTTCCCGATGTCGCTGAGGCCCTTCTGGCCAAGGGAGTTCGTCTTCGGTGCGACATTCAATCGAAATCTGCCCTTTTGAAAACTACATCATCACCGCCGGCAGAATTACTAGAGGATGCAGCCGACTCGGATTTCGACACTGAATTTTTAGATCTTGTCCTAGCAGTCAAGACCATTCCTTCAACATCATCACCAATCTCAGCGGTCGAGAACGCGATTGCTCATATCAACTCACATTCGTCAAAACATACAGACCTAATTGTGACAGAGTCGAAAGAGATTGCCGAGTATTTCATGAGTGGTGTGGATAGCGCTGGGGTCTTCTGGAACGCTTCGACCAGATTCGCAGATGGAATGAGGTTCGGATTTGGCACAGAGGTTGGCATCAGTACGAATAAGATCCATACGCGAGGGCCCGTGGGTTTAGATGGATTGACCATCTACAAGTATCTGCTTCGGGGTCAGGGACACAGGGCAAGTGATTATTTTGAAGGAGAGGGAGGTAGAAAGTGGAAACATGAGAATTTAGCTATTTAGTGGCTTCATTGATGAATGATTTGCATTGCGATTTCGACCGACACAATGAGAATTGATTCTTTTCACTGTAATTTACTCTAGGCCCAGCGTATCTGGAATTCCAGATTCAACAGCGCGAGCTTTGCTGCCACATTCCCTACTCAGCTAGATGCCCTCCACATTTGACAGCAAGAAAGCAAAAGCCCTTGTGCAAGTATTTTTGGTAATAGGCTTATGTGACAATCCCAACTCAACCCCCAGAACATCGTCAAATTCCTTGAGATGCCTGCTTAAACCTTGAAGCCACGAGACCTTCTACGTCCGCGAGCTCTCTCGAATTTACGACCCTTGCTTCGAACGTAGGGTTTCTAAATCAAGTATAAGTATGACTGGGTTAACACTCAATAGTGAGGTATCATCTCACCTTGTGGCTGTGGGGGCCGAAGCCGAAGTGCTTGACAGCCTCACGAGCGTTCTTGGGGCCACGGAGGAGGAGAGTGTTTGCTCCAGTAGGTGCCCGAAGTGCGAGCTGATCCAAAGTCAGAGTCTCACCTCCAGCCTTTTCAATCCTGGCTCTCGCAGTAGCAGTGAATCGCAAAGCGGCCACAGAGAGTTTGGGAACGGTGAGAAGACGATTGTCATCGGTAACGGTTCCAATCACGACGATAGTCTTGCCCTTGTGAGAATCGGCGACGTTGGAAACAAGTCGCGAAAGAGAGACGGGAGGGCGATTGATTCTCGACATAAAAAGGCGGCGCAACACAACTTTGTTGAAGTTGGACTCCGTGCGGCCTAGCAGAACAAACAACTTAATCAGTCTCCAACTGTAACCATCTCGACAAGCCATGACTTCAAGAAATTATCATACGGGCGAGAAAGCGGTAGAGCTTCACAAGGACCTGCAGGTAGACATTCTCGCTCTTCGGCGCCTTGCGGTGGGTGCTGCGCACATGGTGACGGTCCAGGTCGATACCTGAAGTGATACGACTGTTAGCCTTTCAAATTCCCTGCCTTTTGTGGGCGTTGACACTCGAAGCAGATTCAACGCAATCTTGATCTTTAGGCGTAAATACATACCCATGGCTGCTGTATTTGATAGTACACCTGGGTGTTGGCTTGCTGTCGCGCCCGTATGCGATGTAAATCTGTTGAGGTTTTTGATCTACGATTTTCTGATAGACGGTGTGTGCGGGTTGAGCCCTACACTAGTACAAATCTAGAATTTAGAGCTCGTGACCTACAACTAGTGTGGGTCCCACGTCTATTAATGCAATACACAGTAGTTACATACACTGCTGATGGATTAGTAACATGGCCTTGCATGTTACCTAGACATCTAAACATAATCAGACTGTTATTATTATTCTGTTTATGAGTCCTTCATTCTGCCACTCTGCCGTTCTCCTTCTGTCTGTTGACCTATCCTTTCCTAACACCTTCTATCTAGCCCTAGTATTATTCTCCTGTGCCCATTGTTAAGCTACCTGCCCCTCTTAGTTTCTTGACGCTAGATCAGTGTAGTATAGACAGACACTACCTACCTTAAGTATCCCCTAGGTGAATTACTGACTATGTCGTCTAATCTAACCGATCAGCGTTAGCAGTTTAGTGCATAAAATCCACGCTAAATTCGATATGCTTGGCACCAGGTTAGGGATATAAAGTGAATGGACCAGAGTACCTACGTTTTGTGTCTACCAGTAAGATGTTCCCATGTCACTGAATCCTAGGACCTATCTAGACTAGGTATGTTAAGACTTAAGGGCATATAGGCTCAACTGCTGTTATGGAGGATATGAATAAACTCAGCATTCAGTTATCTATACAGGGCCGAGTATAAGAGCAATAGAAAGCTTGGTATACTGGTACTTAACTCCATAATCAATGATCCCTATGTAACCAACGCCTTTACATACGTAGTACCTACATGCGCCTAATACCATAAGGTAGGGCAGGGAGGGGCCTGATTGAATTACGAATATGTTCACTACCTTGGTACATATTTATACATATGTATATATAATGCAGTGCTGAGCCATATATACCCTAAGAAATAATCTGTAGTACTCCGTACTCCCTAAGTATCCATTGGTAGAGATCATGGATCCTTGCTCAGTGGACATTATTTAAGGGAGACTCATACTAAGGTACATTACATGCTTCTA